GGTTTAGAATAATCACAATAAGAAGAAAAAACGACCGATAATTACTCCACTGAAATTGCTACAAGTGTCTTTATAGTATTTACAGCTTATCCTTTATATATTTGCCAAAAGGATGGTTTACTCTGTGTTATGTCATCTAAGCACATAGTCTCAAAAGTGTGTTGGTTTTCTTGCTGATTGATACTGTGAAAAGTTACTGCTTAAACATGTGCCGTAATGTTCGATAATTGGAAGTGTCCACATTATCTATCGACATCGCAACTTGTGGGTAGCACAATTGCATTCTAGTTGTATTTTGAGATGTATTTTTGTATTGAACTGCGAACAAAATATAACTATTGGAGTAAACTTTGGAATAAATACGTTTTGATTAAAGCTTTCTAAGTTTGTGGATCACATATACTTTTGTAACTGTTAGTTTATTGTACGATTCAGAGATGGGCAACTCCAACTCCGGAGTTGGAATTAACTCCAGAGTTGAGCTTCTTTTTAGTGGAGTTGGAGTTTCGTTTTTATTAGATTAGAGTTGAGTTGAGTTCAGATTTTTTCAACTCCAGTTAAAAATTTTTGCAACTCTGAAAATTTTTTTTGTTTTTGTTACGTCACATAAAAGCAATATTAACATGTGTTCAACGTTTATATATTCTGAATATGTTAAACTTATGTGTGTATATGCTGCCGATGATCATATAATCTCGAATGAGCGAATAAGAGAAAACATTGCAGCGTTGTCGCTTTCTGCAGTGATCACATATAAAATAAAGGAGAAAATGAATCAAGACAAAATAAGTTTCTATTGGAGTTGAAACGGAGTCGGAGTTGGAATCTGCGGAGTTGGAGTTGAACTTCTTTAAGTGGAGTTGGAGTTGAAGTTGAGTTGGAGTTGAACCTAGCCGGAGTTGCCCATCTCTGGTACGATTATATTTGATGATTTTTTATTGCAAGAGATGAAGGCGATCTTTTTATCCCACTCTAATTGCGAGATAACATAGAAAAAAAGTATGCACTGCTTTTTTTAAAATTTTCTATCATTTTTGAGAAAACACAGTTTTATCATAAAAAATGACCTTTACCGAAACGGGGAATTGTTTCCCTTCTAAATCGAACAATAGTCTCTCGAGCTTTCCCGAAGATTTTCTAGAAGAGCATTTGAAAAGCTTTTTACTCTATACAACAACCGTTTCAACCGATATAGAATTTAATCTCCTTCAAATGAGATCTTTCTGAGCTGGGTGGGCCGTTCCACGACTGAGAGATTCACTTTTGAATGTTTCAAACCTTTCTTCTTAATCAAGAGGAAGTTTACTTCTTTAAAATGATTCGAGGTGACTCGAGTTTTGATGTGACTCGGACCTGGACTCGACTCAAACTCGAAAAAGCGGTGACTCGGCCATTTCTCGTCAATTCGTATTGAATCAACGAATGAAAATTTCTTTTTTTCTTTGACCCAAACGTCAGGCTTCTACTCGACTTTACATAGTTTTCTATCGCTCTAAAGTTCAGCTCAGTTCACTAATCGGATAGTACTTTTCGATGGAGGTATATGCCCGAGTGAATATTTGACAAATTCAAACGTGGTTTCTTTTTCTATTAAATTTAGTACACGATATAAATAACGAAAGAAATGGGAAATATGGGTGCACCACATGGTAAACTAGCAGAAGCTATTTTTTATTCTCAACCACATGATGATTTCCATGATCCTCTTCTTTTACTTCCTCCTCTTCTGTCGGTTCCTACGAGTAAAAAAATTCTGTGTCGTAATAATGTTGGTAGTAGTACAAATGCGAGAATACGTTTTTGGAAAAGTCATATGCGTATAAGCCATTTGATAACAGATGACAACTGGCTATTTCTAACAGAAAAATTTCAAACGGTAGGTCTATTCTCGTTAAATTGAATCAACTGGTCTTTATTTGTTTTTATTTCTTAGCTCAATGACGACAGTGGTAGTGGTGATATTGGTTTTGGTGATATCGAGAAAGCATTAGGATTAATTGGTATTATAATTGAAAAATCTGAATTAAATATTGCTCTATTGAAATATGAACATATCGAAGAAAGGTTGTCGAAACTGGAATTTGAAGAAGTACGTACTTCGTTTGCATATCGATCAATCTATACTTCGTAATACGTGCTGTTCTTCTTTTAGTTGTATCTAACACTTAGAGCAGAAAAAGATATCGATCATTCAAAACAAACATAGAGAACAACGATGATCACCTTCCAGATACCGTAGTATATTAATATAAATGTATTTGTAAATAAATGCTTTTATGCTTTTTTTTGTAAAATGAATATTTTCTGTTTATAAATATAAACATTTCAAAATCTGTCTGCTAGCTAATAAACGGAGGATCTTACGAAACCATTTACGCGCTTTTTCCTATCCAGTCTCGTCTTACGATCCTCGCCGAAAATCTAAAACTATGGTAACAAGCTGGGACGTAACTTCACGTCAGAACTGGAGTTCTCAGGATCTACCACACATTGAACCTGCACGATAGTTTTCATATTATGCTTCCATTAAACAATCTGTAGTAGTGATTTGTATCAACGAATTCAAAAAGTGAAACAAGGCTTGCCGTTTGGTAAGAAGTAATGCTGTTATTATTTTTATTTTAAGTTGATATTTTAGCGCAAAAACAAACTGAAGATAGTAGTGGTATTCAGTTAAAGATATTAGATTAGAATACACATTGTCGAAAATGGTCACTGGTAAAAAATTTGACGTTTTGATGAGATTACACTCATAGAAAATTTGGCAATGGGTTATACACCAACTTAATTTTGTTTCTTTTGTTTTAAAGCATTCCTCCATGTATTATTTACGGGAAAAAATTTCTAAAAGCACCTGGATGGACAAAGAAGAACACAAAAAAAAACACAGTGATCGGTATGTTGCCGTACAACACAATTTGTTGGTAATGTTAACATACGTAAAAATCATGATATTCGTATGTTGTGTGTATATATGGCTGAAGGCGTACTTTTCTAATGTATTCCAATTTAATACATTAGATTTTTTGGTAGTCTACAATCAACTTTTAAGTCGCAGAAATATTAGAAATTAAATAACAAACGGTTCGTGATCAGTGCCACCAGTTATTGTCTTAAAAACATATAGAGCCATTTCCTTGCAGAAGCCATCTGCCGTGCTCACAAATTCGAATTTAAATTTTTAATCCTTTTAAAGTTGACATTCACGATTAACGTGAAAACTGCGCCTGCTGATGTAACGGATGTACCATAAATAAGGTCGATCTCTGTATTTTTGCTCTAACTCCTGTTTCTTAGGTCTCCTAGAGCAAATTCTTTTTTTAATAGAAGCGCCGTGAAATTCTCTACACAATCATACTAAACGTGAAAACTGCAAGTGCTGATGTAAAGAGGCTTGCAGCAATTTCAGTGGAGTAATTATCGGTCGTTTTTTCTTCTTATTGTGATTATTCTAAACT